TGAGTAGTAAACTACCACTTTGTAAAATTTCTGTTAGGGTTGATCGAGATAAGACTACAGAAAATTTAGTATAATGCTAGATACTATAAGCACTCAATAAATCCTTTTTTTTTGTATTGTTATTATCTTTACTAACAGAATAGTTGGTACTCAAGGACTGCTCATTAAACACAGATTTACTTATCTATTTATATATATATTTTTATTAAACACAAATTTAAAATGACAGCACAGATAGAAGTTATGCCCAAGATGAATATTAATAACACTGTATGAGAGTTTTAACTCAACACATTTGAGAGACGTGGGTACTTACAGAAACCACCTTCACTATTACAAAACATGATTTTCAGGCACATTTCATATGCAAGATGAACTGTAGAATAAACAATTTTCCCAGGTGTTACCAGTTATGTACCCCACATTTAATTTTGCTTAAGTTCTAAAGAGTTTTGATGCTGGTTTGGTTTGTTCGTACCAATTACAAAGAATTTTCCTAAACTCTGCATTTAGGAATAGATTCAGGTATTCTGAACTGGAAATTATGCAGAAGAAAACAGGAGTGTGGTAGGATTAGGAGGTTATAGTTAAATCCAAACAGGCTAGGACTAGTTTTTCATAATTTTTCCTTTTGTATTTTTATTAATGAGGGAGTTAAATTATGTAGTTCATCACTGGAAGAAACAATGCAAAATTAGTCTTTAGATAATTGTCTTTTGTATTTAAAGGAAAAAAAGTAAGAAAGCAGTTGGTTACATTTTTATTCAACTTTCTTATTAGTGTGGAAATTTCAGCTTGTCAGACAATGTTATATAAAGCAGCAAAGCCTGTATAATTTTCTATTTTTTAAACATTTGCAAAATCAAAAATGATCATGGGGAAAACAGTGGCCTAACCTCTCAATGCGGATTTAATAATAGTGTACTCTACTCAGGTCTCTTATTGGTAAGATTCCATTGCTTAAAAACAACAGTGTGGTTCAGGACACCTACTGGAATACTAAAGATTTGATTAGTTACAATTAAATAATACTGGTTCAGGCATTTTCTTTCTTTTAGTTTTTGGATTTTTTTCATTATGTTTAACATCAACATCAGTGAATCTGCCATGGTACAAGCAATCTATTAAAAAACAGGGAACAAGCTATCTGTATGGGATTACAAGGGAATTCACATGGTATATCAAACTCTCTATCAAGTTCATAATTCTATTTTGCCAAAAATTTACGTTAAATATGTGTCAAACTTTAGGGAAAATTATCAATCCTTTATTTTGGTTACATGTAAACCACCCCAAACTTAATTTTTAACTGATTATCTCATTTCAAACATTCTCTTCTAACTATAAATGATTGTATGTCTCTAGTCATCTAAAAAGATTATTGAGTCCTTGTCATGTGCAAGATAGTCCTGAGACTTTCCGTGGCTCACATTTCTAGTGAAGGAGGTCAGGTGAAGTAAAATAGCAGCAATCCAACATAGTTAAGTTAACCTTTTGAGAGTTCATAGTACGAATAGCTCACCTTTAGATAGTTGGGCAAAGAGCTGTTTTATAAAGGAGGTGAGAAGTACAGAACAATAAATTGTTAGAAATAGAAGGGCATATATTTATCAATTTTTATTTCACAGATGAGGAGATTGAGGCCAGGAAGAATAAAGTCTTGTCCGAAGTCATATTATAAAAGTATGACAGCACTGAGATTAGAATTCAGTGTCCATAACTCCTTGTCTAATAGGCTTTTTTAAAAATAGCAGCTTTATGGAGGCATTCACATACATAGATTTACACTCTTAAAGTGTACAGTTTTTTTAAAAAAAATTATAACAAACAGAACTATGCAACTGTTATCTAACTTAAAACACTTTTCTTGCTCCAGAAAGACTATAAGCCTCACTTTCTGTTTTTCCCACCTTGCAGACTTCTGGCAGTGACTAATTTTTTTTTTCTTTCTCTGTGCATTTGCCTATTCTGTACACTTCATATAAATAGAGCCATAAATATATGGCCTTTTGCTTCTGACTCATTTTACTTATCATAATGTTTTATTTTTTAAAAGGTTTTATTTATTTATTCTATATATATATATATATATATAGAGAGAGAGAGAGAGAGAGAGGGAGAGACACAGGCAGAGGGAAAAGCAGGCTTCATGCCAGGAGTCTGACGCGGGACTTGATCCCGGGACCCGAGGATCGTGCCCTGGGTTAAAGGCAGGAGCCAAACTGCTGAGCCACCCAGGGATCCCCTTATCATTATGTTTTAGAGTCTCATCCATGTTGTTTCATGAATTGGTAATTTAATTTTTTATTGTTGAATAATATTCCAGTGTATAGAAGCACCACATTTTGTTTATCCATTCATTAGTTGATGGACGTTTCAGCTGTTTCTGTGTTTTGTATACTGTGAATAATGCTGCTATAGATATTTATGTACAAGTTTGTATAGACATATATTTTCAATTCTCTTGGGTATATACTTGAAGTGGCATTGCTAGGTTATATGATAACTCTAAGTTGTCTGTTCAAGGACTGACAGACTGTTTTTCAAATCAGCCGCACCACTCTGTGTTCCTACCAGCAATGTGTAAGGGTGTCAGTTTCTCCTCATATTCATCAACATGTTTTAATTTTAGCCATCCTAGTGGGTGTGAAGTGCTATCTTATTGTGGCTTTGTTTTTCATTTCCTTAATGAATAATGAGGTTGAACATCTTTTTATGTGCTTTATACCCACTTCTATAACTTATTTGGAGAAATGATTATTCAATCCCCCCTCCGTTTTTAAATTGTTTTTATTTTTTATTATAGTTTTTAGTTAAGAATTGAGTTTAGGGGTCTTTATATATTGTGGATACAAGTCCTTTTCACAGAAATATGACTTGCAAACATTTTATCCCATTCTGTGTATTGTCTTTTCACTTTCTTGTTGGTGTTCTATGAAGAAGATAGGTTTTTAATTTTGACCAAGTCAAACTAATTTCTTTTTTCTTTTTTTTTTAATATTTTATTTATTTCTTCATAGAGAGAGAGAGGCAGAGACACAGGCAGAGGGAGAAACAGGCTCCATGCAGGGAGCCCGATGTGGGACTCGATCCCGGGTCCCCAGGATCACACCCCAGGCTGCAGGCGGTGCCAAACCGCTGTGCCACCGGCGCTGCCCATTTATTTTTTCTTTACTTTGGTGTTAATATCTAAGAAACTGTTGCCTAATTCATGTCAGAAATTTTTTTTACAATCTTTTAAATTAAAAGGTCGGAAAGATTTATTATGCTTTCTTCAATAATTTTATAGTTTTAAATGTTACTTTTAGGTCTGTAATCTATTTGTAGTTAATTTTTGCGTGTGGTGTGAGATAGGGACCAACTTCATTGTTTTGGATGTAGATTCCACTTGTCTCAGTACCATTTGTTGAAAAGAATGTTGTTTCCCCATTGAATTGTCTTGGCACCCTTGTCAATAATCAATTGACCATAAATTATGAAGGTTGATTTCTAGATTCTCAATTCTCTATTATTGAGCTATATATCTATCCTTGTTGTCAGTATCACACCATCTTGATTACTGTGGCTTTATATTGAGTTTTGCAAAGTGCAGAGTCTTCCATTTTCATTGTTCTCTGTCAAGATGTTTTTGACTATTTGAAGAGTATTGCTATTTTAATCTGTACTAAGTCTTCAAACCCACAAACATGGTATATTTATTAGGTCAAATAGTTGTGTGAGTTTTCTTTAGGATTATTTATATACAAGATCATGTCATCTGCAAATAGAGGTAATTTTACTTCTTTTCCAATCTCGATACATTGTGTTTCTTTTTATTGTCTAATTTCCCTTTCTAGAACTACAATATAATGCTCAGTAGAAATATCAAGAGGTCACAGCCTCTACCTATTTCTGATATTAAGTCATTCACCATTAAATCTGATGTTGATTATGAGTTTTTCATACATGGTCTTTGTCAGAGCTTTCTCCTATTCCTATTTTGTTGAGTGTTTTTATCATGAAAGGTTGTTGGATTTTGTCATGCTTTTTCTGTATCTTTTGGCATGATCTTATGTTTTCCCCCCTTTATTCTCTTCAGAAGATAAATTATATACTTTATTATTTTATGTTAATTGAACCTTGAATTCTTTGGATAAGTCTCAGTTGGTCATGGTGTATAATCCTTTTTAAACGTTTCTGGGTTTTGTTTGATAGCATTTTGCAGAGGATTTTTGTATGTGTTTTCATTCATAAGGGATATTGGTCTATAGTTTTTTTGTGACATGCATTTGTGGTTTTAGTATCAGGGTAACACTGCCTTCATAGAATAAATTGGAGAGTATTCCCACATTTATATATTTCAGAAGAGTTTCTGAAGAATTGGTATTAATTTTTCTTTAAACATTTGATAATATTTGCCAGTGAAGCCATCTGTGTGCTCTACTTTGAAGGAAGTTTTTGGTTATGTGTTTATTATCTTAACTTCTTATAGGTCTATCCAGATTTTCTGTTTCTATTTGAGTCAGTTTCAGCAGTTTGTCTCTTCATAGAAATCTGGCCATTTCATCTAGGGTATCTAATTTATTTACACTCAATTGTTCATAGTATTCTCTTATAATCATTTTAATTTCTGTCAGGATTAGTGATGCATCTCCCCTCCCCCCCCCCACCAATTTTAGTAATTTAAATCTTCTCTCTTTTTATCTTGGCCAGTTTTTTTTTTTTTCAAAATAGTTTTTATTATTATAAAAATGTAAAAATCCAGCAAAACCAGAAATACCGGACATATTTTCCTGGGCTTTCACATTTGTTGATCTTATTCGCAATCTCTTTTTCAACCTCAACCCCATTTGCAGTCTGATTATACAAGTGCTAAGTGGCAGAAAGGTCTAGAATAAATAGATCAAAAAAAGAGGCCACGCTGTGAAACTAAGTTGCATGCAACAGGTCTATGAGGTGGGGGAAGTGAGAAATAAAACAGAGTAAGACAAAGCAACTGGAAGGTTTTAGCTAAAGTTCTTTCAATCATCTTTGTCTTTTGCTCCATATATAAGGATGCGCATGAACTCAATGTAATTGAAATTCCCCTTCTTGTCGATAGGTGCTTCCCTGTACAGCTCATCCACCTCCTCATCTGTAAACCGGTCTCCCATGGTTGTCAGCAGCTCTCTCAGGTAATCTTCCTGGATGGTGCCAGTTGCTTCTTCATCAAAGCAAGCAAAAGCATTTCTGATGACATCTTCCAGATCTGTGCCATTTAACTTCTCACCAAACATTGTGAGGAACATGGTGAAATTAAAGGGCTCTGGAGCCTCATTCATCATGGCCTCAAGGTATGCATCGGTTGGATTCTTCCCTAGAGAATCAAGCATATCGTGCAAATCTTCCTTGTCAATGAAATCATCTCTGTTCTGATCAATCATCTTGCAGGCCTCTTTGAACTCCTGAATCTGTGACTGGTCAAACATAGCAAATACATTGGATGTTGCACGCTGGGGGCGCTTCTTGGTGGTCTTGGTCTTTGCCTTTTTGCTCGACATGGTGGCTGTTTAACTCGATGAGCAACACCAGAGCCCTGCTGCCCATGAGGGCCGATGAGGGGCCTATCTTGGACAGTTTAATTAAAGGTTTGTGAATGCATTTATTTCCTCAAAGAACCAACACTTGGTTTTGTTGTTTTTTCCTATTATTTTTGTATTTTCTATTTCCACTAGACTTTATTATTTCCTTTCTTCTACTTGCTTTGGATTTAGTTTGTCATTTTGTTTTGTTTTAGATTTTTAAGGTGGATGGGTAAAGCATTTATTTGTATTCTCTTTTATTTTTTAAAGAATTTATTTATTTATTTGAGAAAGAGAGTGAGAAAGCATGGCAGGGAGGGGCAGAGGTGCAAGCAGACTCCCCACAGAGCATGGAACCTGATGCAGAGCTCAATCTCAGGACCCTGAGATCATGAACTGAGCCAAAGTCAGATGCTTAAACAATTGAGCCACCCAGGTGCCCCAGTATCCTCTTTTATTTTTTAATATAGGGGCTTATAGCTATAAATTTCCCTTTAGGTACTGTTTTAGCTGCATCCCCTAAGTGTTTATATGTTGTCTTTTTGGTACATGTACCTACCTTATTGTATTTTCTAATTTTCCTTGTGATTTCTTTTTTCATCCATAGTTTTATTTATAAATGTATTAATTTTACATGTTTATGAATTCCTAAAGTTCGCTGAGATTTCTTTTATGGCCTATGGTGGTCAATTTTGGAAACTGTTCCAAACGCACTTGAGAAATGTGTGTAACTTACTAACAACAAATGAAGTGTTTATGGATGTTTCTTTAGGTCCAGTTGGTTGATAGTGTTTTCAAGTTATCTATTTCCTTGTTGATCATCTGACTGATATTGCATGATGGGTATTGAATTCTCTAACTTTTATTGTCAAATTGCCCATTTCTTACTTTGGTTTTGTCAGTTTTGCTTCATGTGGCTTTGGGGCACTGTTATGCCTATGAGTACTTTATCTTCTTGAATGACAGACCACTTTATTATTAAAAAATGTCCTTTGTTTCTAGTACAACTTCTGCCTTAAAATTGATTTTTTTTATATTAGTATAGCCACTCCAGCTAACTTTGGTTATTACTTTTATGATACAACTTTTTGCACCTTTTGCTTTGCATGTCTCTTGCAGATAGTTGTAGTTGGACTTTTTAAAATTCATTCTGCCCCACTCTGGAAAAGCAGTATAGAGGTTACTCAAATGGTTAAAAATAAAACTGCCCTATAATTCAGCAATTGCAGTACTAGATAGTTACCCAAAGGATAAAAAATACTGATTCAAAGGGAAACATGCACCCTGATGTTTATAGCAAATTTCCAAATTATGGAAAGAAGCCAAATGTCCGTCAACTGATTAATGGATTTAAAAAGAAGTGATATATACACACACAATGGAATATTACTCAGCCAAAAAAAAGAATGAAATCTTGCCATTTAAAATGACATGGATGGAACTAGAGTGTATTATGCTAACCAAAATAAGTGAATCAGAAAAAGACAAACCCCACATGATTTCACCCATATGTGGAATTTAAGAAATAAAACAGATGAATGTAGGGGGGAAGAAAAGAGAGAGACAAACCATGAAACAGACTTTTACCTATAGGGAACAAACTGAAAATTACTGGAGGGAAGGTGGGCAGGGAGATGGGTACTAAGTGGGTGATGTAAAACTTATCAGGAGTGCACTTGTGATGAGCAGTGGGTGTTATAAATAAGTGATGAATCACGAGGTCCTATACCTGAAACTAATATTACACTGTGTGTTAACTGACCGGAATTTAAGTAAAAACTTGGAAAAAAATAAATACAGTGACATAGCCACAAATGAATACAAGTAAAACTAGGGAAACCTGAAGACCAATGGATCACACCAATATCAAATTCCTGATTGCAATGTGCTCTATAATTTTGTAAGATATTACCATTAAGGGAAACTGGATAAAGTGCATTCAGGATCTTGCTGTGTAATTTCTTAAAGATGCATGTGAATTTACAGTTATATCAACAATTAAGATTAAAATAATAATATAAATAGGCTCCTGGATGGCTCAGTTGATTAAGCATCTGGCTTCAGCTCATCATGATCTCTGTGTCCTGGGATTGAGTCCCACATTGGATCTCTGTGCTTAGCAAGGAGTCTGCTTCTCCCTCTGTCTCTCTCCCCTGCTCATGCGTGTTCTGTCTCTCTCACTCTTTGAAATAAATACAGTCTTTAAAAAATAATAAAAATAAATTTAAACTTATGATGTTCCGACAAGTATACCTAAGATCATTATCTTTTATTACAAATTCAGAGAATAAATAAATTCATAAAGATCAAGATTTGCAACAACTGTCAACCACAAGATATTGCTTTTGCTTTTCAAGTTAATGTTTTCTAATATTGAGTAGCACCTTTGTCCCCTGGAGATAGTGTATGTGTGAGCCTTGCCTATAGAAAAAAAAAGAAAAATGCTTAGGAAATTCATCCAAATAAAGTTATCTGCCTTCGGAGAATTTCAGAGATAAACGAGAACCTTAATTCACTAAATGAGAAAGTACAGTCTGTATATATGAATAAACAAGCCATCATTGTCAATAACATTAATAAAGTATACACTGACTCTGCACCAATTTTAATGTAAAAGTTGATAACCAGGGCAGCCCGGGTGGCTTAGCGGTTTAGTGCTGCCTTCAGTCCAGGTCCTGATCCTGGAAACCCAGGATCGAGTCCCATGTTGGGCTTCCCGCATGGAGCCTGCTTCTTCCTCTGCCTGTGTCTCTGCCTCTCTCTCTCTGTGTCTCTCATGAATAAATAAATAGAATCTTTTCTTTTAAAAAAAGCTGATAACCAAACAGAGTATTTCAAACCTCAATATTTGCCAACTCATAATAATCTTTTGGAGCCTGTGAAAAATACAGAATTCTAGTCAAGACTCAAAATTTCTGAATTGGAATTTCTCAGGTTGAGGCTAGGTAAACTACATTTATATAAAATTTCTATGTACTATTGCCATACAACAGAAACTTCAGAACCACTCATGTAACTATTTGGAATTGTCTCTGTTAACTATCACAATTTATAAAATTAATCCAACTCATATATATTTCACATTTTAAAATTGTAAAATCCATTCCCCTTTATTATTTTTTAAAGTTTTATTTATTTATTCATGAGAGACACAGAGAGAGGCAGAGATATAGGGGGAGAATGAGCTAGATGCAACCCTGGGATCATGCCTTGAGCCTGAGGCAGACACTCAACTGCTGAGCCATCCAGCCATCCCTCCATTCCCCTTTAATCTGATAGGTTGTTTTGTGTCTAACTGGGCATAGATAAGTACCTGTGTAGCCAAGGGATGCCATTAAAACTATTGTGATGTTTAGACCCTAGGTGAGCTTTAAAAAATTCAAGGGACAATAGAGTTTGAAAAAAAAAAAAGTTCATTGATTGCTTTTCATCTTTCTGAAAAAACAACTTTTGTTTCATTTATATTAGTACAAAATAACTTATGCATGTAAAAAAATTGTTATGTATGAGAGGACTCGTCATTTCATTCTTAGCAATGTCTGGCTCATGATAAATATCTGTCATCTATCTATATCTATCTATCTATCTATCTATCTATCTATCTATCATCATCTAATCTATCTATCATCTATCATCTATTTATCTAACAAATAAAACTCTTTCTGCCAATCTTGAACACTTTTTGTTGGAGTGTTTAGCCCATTTACAGTTAAAGTAATTATTAATGAGGTAAGATCCCTTGTATACTCTAGGGAGTACTAATGTACTAACCTTTTCCCAGGTTTTGACTTTGCAAATATTTGCAGTCTGTCATTTGTCTGCTAACTTTGTTTCATTGAACAGAAGTCCTTAATGCTGGTGTAGTCAAATCCATTTAGTTTTAACCTTATGATTTGTACTTTTTAAAGTTTTTTTCCTTGCCTAATTTATAAAAATATTCTCCTAGGTCATTATGACAGGTAAAATAATGGTCCTCCAAAGATGTCCATGTCCTAATCCCTGGATCATGTTAATGTTACCTTGTGTGATGGAAAGGACTTTGCATATATAATTAAGATTTAGGTCCTTGAAATGGGGGAGATTATTCTGATTTATCCAGAAGAGCCTAATCTAATCATATGAATCCTTTATTTTATTTTATTTAAATTTTACTTTATTTTGTATATGTTTTTATTGGAGTTCGATTTGCCAACATATAGTATACCACCCAGTGCTCATTCGGTCAAATGCCCCCCTCAGTGCCCGTCACCCAGTCACCCCAACCCCCTGCCCACCTCCCTTTCCACTACCCCTTGTTTGTTTCCCAGAGTTAGGAGTCTCTCATGTTCCATCACCCTCACTGATATTTACCACTTATTTTCTCTCCCTTCCCCTCTATTCCCTTTTACTTGTTTTTATATTCCCCAAATAAATGAGACCATATAATGTTTGTCCTCCAATTGACTTACTTCAACTCAGCATAATACCCTCCAGTTCTATCCATGTTGAAGCAAATGGTGGATATTTGTTATTTCTAATGGCTGAGTAATATTCCATTGTATACATAAACCACATCTTCTTTATCTATTCATCTTTCAGTGGACACTGAGGCTCCTTCCACAGTTTGACTATTGTGGACATTGCTGCTATAAACATTGGGGTGCATGTGTCCTGCCATTTCATGTGAATCCTTTATAGTAGAGAGCTTTTCTTGGCTGTAGTTTGTTAGGGAGAAAGAGATGTGAAAACAGAGGCAGGGTAAGGGAAATGCTACATTGCTGGCTTTGAAAAGATAGTTGAAGATGGGTTGCCTCTAGAAGCTGGGAAAGACAACATAAATGATTTTTCCCTAGAGCTGCTAGAAATGGTTGCAACCTTGCCAAAACCTTAACATAAGACCTATGATGGACTTCTGATCCATAGTGCCATAAGAAAATAAACATGTATCGTTTAAATTATTAAGTTTGTAGTTATTTGTTACAGCAGCAATAGGAAAAAAAGTAATACATCATAGATT